AGTCCCAGCTACTCGGGAGGCTGAGGCAGGAGGATCGCTTGAGCCCAGGAGTTTGAGGTTGCTGTGAGCTAGGCTGATGCCACGGCACTCACTCTAGCCCGGGCAAAAGAGTGAGATTCTGTCTCAAAAAAAAAAAAAAACTTTGATCCTAGCCAGGTGTTGGTGGTACCCACCTGTAGTCCCAGCTGCTTAGGCAGCTGAGGCGACAGGATCGCTTGAACATGGGAGTTCGAGTCTAGCCTAGGCAAGCTAGTGAGACCCCCACCTCTAAAAACAAAAACCCCCAAACACCTCAGTCCACATGGCAAAAAAATTATTTTCTTTTTGGTTCTCTTTCAGTTCCCCTGATTACACCAAGGAGAAAGATTTAAACTTAATTTGATGCTAGTTGTCTTCAACACTCATCTCACACTTGGGAATCTCTCTTTTTAACAAAGAGAGAGGGTATGTTAGTCTCCGAGTACTCACAGTCGTAGCTGATTGAAATTTAATAAATCACTCTGTTTCATTGTCTTTATTTTTCATAGTTACCTTCTATTTGCGGTAAGTGATTCTGGTTTTCCGTTTATGTTCATGATATAAAGTTTCCTTAAAAAACAAATTTATTTTAGGAAAGAAAACGTGAGCTGAATCAAACAAAGAAAAACCCCCCTAGCAGTTACCAAATGTTTTCCATGTGGCAGGCCCCGTTCTAGGCGCATGCCCGTGACCTGTGCGGTAGGATTATTATCTCCATCGTACAGGGTGCGGAGCACAGACAGGTTAAGTAACTTGCTCAGGGTCACATAACTAGTGACCTATGGAGCTGGCATCAAACCAATCCATCTGGCTATAGAGCTCGTTCTCTCACCCACACTGCCCTGGCGTGTGGATATTGCAGAATGTGAAGGAATAATGAAGTTTGAGAAATACTTTATTCCACATGTCTTGATACAGCTTTAACCAGATTCTCTTACTTGTCCCCATGCATGTCCTGTATATTCCTGCTTTTCTGCCTCAATCATGCTCAATTCACACCAAATTGTCTTGCCCTTGCCCGTATATTGCCTTATTATTCTTTTAACAGAAGACATGTTGCTCCCCTGCCTAAATATCTCAAATGTGGCATTGAGAATAAAAGCAAAGGCCTCCATTGAGCAATGCAGCCCTCTTGCAATTTTGAACCTATGCTTTTTCTCCAATTTTATACATATATAGGGCTTATTTCTTGCCTACTAGGTTGGAGACACCTCAAAATAGAAACTGGTTCTTCCAATCCTTTTGTTTTCTTGTGAGTTTTTTTTTTCTTTTCTTTTTTTTTTTTTTTTTTTGTTGCTGAACCTTTTACTGTATGGTGGGCAAATTCTGGAACCACAACATGTCTAGGAAATGTTACAGAAAAGAAGGATATGGGGTTTCGCAGATCTCTCCAGAATCCAAGATCAGCCAGTGGAAAAGCAATAGCCTCAGCCTTACTTCCAGACTGGACTCCTCTTCCATGCCTTCTCCTCCCTTCCCCGCTGCTCGCCACGGAGCATGTCTGCCAACACTGCAGCCCCCGGCCCTGCCTTCCTTCTGGCCAAAGAGCCTCCATTTTCTAACACACAACACCCACACACCCTGAAGGTGGCTAAACTCTGTTTTCAAAATTTCTCAGCAGTTTGACATCAAAAGGAGGAGAGGGTGACCACAAATGAATTTTTTCAGCTGAGGGTAAGATAGGTCCTAATGATTACGGATGTATCCGGGATACATGTGTCAAGCAAAGGGAGAGTAACACTTTGGGAGAGGGACAAAGATCATGATCTCTCCTCAGGAAAGCTTTTCTAAAGCTGTCTACCTTCGAACCTCTTTTACTTAAGTCTCAGGCAGCCAGGTGACTGGTGAGTTTGGGGAGTGGCAAGCTGATGTTTTGGGGGCTATTTTCTCTACTGCTGTAGCTATTTAAAAAGCTGCCAAGGCCAGTGGCTGAACACCCCCACCCTTTCCGGCACTTTCGTCCCCCTGGCCACCTGATATTACAAGCAGAAGACAATACGCATAATAAGAGCTTGGGAGCTGACTGTGTCTTAAGAGTTCACAGACAACAGAAGTGCAGAGGCCCCGTGCTCCTGCATGGTGGCAGCTGCCCTGTCCCTCTATGTCCCGTCCTGGTGTTCTCTTGCTTCTTTTCCTCCTCTCTCTCAGGCCCCCCTCTGCCATCTGTAGTGGGTGTACCTCACAGCATGGCCTCAACTAACCACATCTCTGCCCCTCCTTCTGCCTGCTGGCTTTGTTTGGGCTGTCCAAACATGCTGTTCCCGACCCAGTGTCTCCTGAGACTTCAGCACCATATGTGCCCCTTCTGCCTGGGCTAGGTGTTCTTCCTCCCTTTTTTGAGGTCTCTGGAAAATAATTGTACAAACTCTCTGCCTTTGTGTTGTTTCTTTTATAACCCTTTCTTTCACCTGTTCCAGGTGAGAAGCGCCACTGCTTTGATGTCAACTATAACTCCAGCTATATGTACGAGAAAGAGAGTGAGATGATACAGACCCGAATGATGGACCAAGCCATCAATAACGCCATCAGCTACCTGGGCGCCGAAGCCCTGCGCCCCTTGGTCCAGACACCGCCTGCTCCCACCTCCGAGATGGTTCCAGTGATCAGCAGCATGTATCCCATAGCCCTCACCCGGGCTGAGATGCCCAATGGTGCCCCTCAGGAGATGGAGAAGAAGAGCATCCACCTTGCAGAGAAGAGCATGCCTTCCGAAAGAGGCCCCTCCCCCAACAACAGTGGCCACGACTCCACGGACACTGACAGCAATCACGAAGAACGCCAGAATCACATCTATCCGCAAAATCACCTGGCCCTTCCTCGGGCCCGCAACGGGATGCCACTTCTGAAGGAGGTCCCCCGCTCTTATGAACTCCTCAAGCCCCCACCCATCTGCCCAAGAGACTCCATCAAAGTGATCAACAAAGAGGGGGAGGTGATGGATGTGTATCGGTGTGACCACTGTCGCGTCCTCTTCCTGGATTATGTGATGTTCACTATTCACATGGGCTGCCACGGCTTCCGTGACCCCTTTGAGTGTAACATGTGTGGATATCGGAGCCATGATCGGTATGAGTTCTCATCTCACATAGCAAGAGGAGAACACAGAGCCATGCTGAAGTGAATATCTCGTCCCAAAGATTGTCCCAGGGTGTTCAACATCATTTTTTAAAACCAGTAACCCAACCTAACAGATTGCTCTCAAAACACGCCCAGTTTCAAACTCCTTTCAGACCATTTTAGGTATCCAAAGGGTGGTGTTTACATGGGTAGCCAGAGAAACACTGTCTTCATTCAGAAATTATTTGCAGGTCTATCATGTTATTACTTTTGCGAAACCTTTGTTTTCCCGTCAGGGACTTGAATTTTATGGAATTTAAAAGTCAAAGAAGTATTGGTCATTATCTTTTGCAGCAATAGAATGGGCATCTGTTGACATTTGTTGCCAGTCAGAACAGTCCCCCCGCTGTGCTGCGTGAGACATTCTTTCTGAGCTGCATCAGCCGTATGTGGAGAAGCTTTTTGGTCATATGCCCAAATCCACAAAGAGGAAGAGCTGACCAGATGACCTTGCTGGGAAGCCTTGCCCATCTACACTTAACACAAGGCGGAAGGGTTAGGATATAATCCCTCCAACCCAAATGGTGGTCTAAGAGCAAGAAAAAAAAAACAGCCATAAAGTAAGTATCTGTTACCAGTAACTGAAGACCCCATTCTCCAAGCATCAGCTCCATTACCTATCAAATAATATTATAGTAATAGTAATAAGCATCTGATGACACTTGTGCTCCTTCCCTGCACCGTCCCATCTCCAGTGAAAAGCTGAGCTGCTTTGGCCTGAACCAACTGTCTATAGGCGAAATTCTATACTGCTGGTTTTAAACACAGACCGTCACTGAAACTCCAGGAAGTTGTCCACTGGGACATCCCTTTCCTTTGACCAAGATTGGCTGAACAGGGGTCTGAGGAGGGAAATGATTTGGCAGCACTAACAGGAAAAAAAAAAAAACTACAGCCACCTAATGTTCTTGGTCTCCTTCATGAAGCATTGGTGATACGGACCCAAAGCAAACGTGCCAATGATTTTTTCCGCAAAACATATGGAAGCATCCAAAAAGTATGGCTTAGCCTCCCCTTCCCCACGGGAGAGGAATCAAGGAGAGATGCTGTGTGTGTTGTTTAGATCAGAGCTGAGCTTTGGGATGGGGTGAGGAAGAGACACCTCTACTGACAGATTCTCCTGGATCAGGCAGGTTTGGGCTCTTCCCCACCCCCCATTTAAATGGAGCTACTTTTTTCCACAAAAATTCCTGAAAGTCTTGTCTGTGTTCTACAGATCTATTATTAGTCATCTTGGTCACTAATAATGGGGACATACTATCAAGGAGAAATGCTATGATCATTGTAAAATTAGCACTGGAATAAGGATCACAAAATTTTTGCTAATTCCATATTTGCCACTTATTAACTGTGTGACTTTGAGCAAATCATTTAACCCTTAAAACTCAGTTTCCTCATCCGTAAAGTAAGAACTGGATTGAGACGTTCTCTAAGGTCCTTTCCAGCTTTACATTTTTACGTGATTATGCAGTAACCACAAGTTATTTTTTGAACCTCTTCATGTCTGGCTATTAAGCAGAGGATCACATAGGTGAATATGTTTCACGTTTCTTTGCTGTGAAAATGATAGGACGTTCAGTCTTTCCTTTAACCACTGAGTTGTGAATGTGAAGAAGATGGTGGAGAGAAACAAAAAACAGGAAGGTATTTTGATCTTGCCCCAAAGTGTACATACAAATTGGCACCTGCAGCCAAAGCCTTTTTTTTAAGAACTTGTGTTAGGGAAAATAAATTCTGTTTCCACGGACAACTTCATGAGCCTATTTACAAATTAAGAGCCAGCTTTGGGAACATCTCAACCAGAACCAAGATTCCCAAATTCCTAGTAGATCAATGTTCTCTTTCTAAAGGGCTTATGCATTCGGCTCCAACTCAACTCGTTCGTGTGCTGCCAGTAATTAAAATGTCCCACCTCAGACTGCACAAATGGCCTCTCCTACTTTGTAGCATGGCGTCTGTCTCAGGGAAAAAAGGTTTTATGAAATTCCAGGGCAACAGTCCCAACATGTTTGAGATTTCAGCTGAAGGACTGGATGTATTTTGGTGCGCTGTCTTTGGTATATCACTGTGTTTCCGTAATACTAGACTCTAGGCTAGTATGCCAGGTTGCTTATGCCCATTGTGAAAGAGGAGTTGCTCATTATACTCTTGAAATATCACATGTCCTGTTGACTCTTTGAGGGACAAGAAAAAGAGAATTTGGAAGCAGGGACGAGTAGGAGAGAAAGCAAGGGAAAGAGAGCATTTCCACCAGGTCAGTGTGAAAGTCTTTGCCGAAGAGACCCACTTTTGCATCTCAAAATGGTGAAACGAAGGCCCATTCCACCAACCTGGGGACTCTTCTCACAGATATGATCCCCCTTTTTCCTGTGACTAATGGATTTGCTGAATGCTCTCCATTCTTCTGAGGTTATTTTTCTGAGTGCGGTGTCCACTCACAAAGGCTGCACTTTCTTTGTAGCATTCTAAGCCTACTTTGGGGCCCATCAATTCCCAAGAAAATTTACATGAATTATAAGAATTTACACATTCTTAAGTCTTGAAGTTGAACCAGGTATGCAGTGGTTACCACCGCACGTGGTTACCGTACACACTCCCTATGCTATGGCTAATTAACTTCCCCTCCTCGCTAGGGCTAGGGGTGAAGGTGAAGAGAATGTCACCGAGATGCCTAATGAGAAGGGCTGAGGCCGGGTTTGCAGCTGCCACACTGGGTAGTGAACTTCTGTAGCAGCTTCAGGCAGTACGTTGACTTTGTCCTGCGCACTCCCTCTGAACATGAGCTCTGCAGGGCTTTCTCCTTCATTTCCCACCAACTCTGTCATGAGGCAGGCCTTCCACCTCACACCCAGGAGGCCACGATCTGAGGAACAACCAAACCCTTGAAAAGTTCACTCACAGCCAAGGTGACAGAATTGGGGTGAGGGTGGAAAAAGAATAGAACCAGCTCTCCAACTGTTTGGTTTTTTTTTTTAATTTTCTTCTTTTTTTTTTTTAGAGATAAGATCTCGCTGTGCTGCCCAGGCTAGCCTCGAACTCCTGGGCTTAAGCGATCCTCCCGCCTCAGCCTCCCAAGTAGCTGGGTTTACAGATGTGCACCACTGCCCCGGCTCTCCAAGTGTTTTCTATCATGATTTGAAGTGTTGCAAATCTTAGTTCCTACTGAGAGAGAACTAAATAAAAATGCCTCTCCCATTACCCTCCACCACCACCAGAAAAAAAAAAGATGTTGATAAACCAGTCTTTAGATTCCTAAAGTCGTCCTCCCAAAAAGACTTGGCACAGGTAAAACAGCTAATCTTATGCTTTGTTAGCCATTTTGAGGTGGTCCTGACACACCTTCTGATTTTGTTAGTGACAAAATTTATCACCTTTTGGGGTTTTTGTTTTTGTTTTTTTTGAGACAGGGTCTTACTCTGTCGCCTGGGCTGGAGTGCAGTGGCATCATCATAGCTCACTGCAGCCTCAAACTCCTGGGCTCAGGTGATCCTCCTGCCTCAGCCTCCCAAAGTGCTAGGATTACAGGCGTGAGCCACTGCGCAGCCAAAATTTATCACCTTTTAAATGCATCACTTAACATTTTGCTAGACCCATACTCACAGTACCCAGATATAAAATGACCTCATTTCTTTTGCAAAGAGAAATATTTGAAAACACAAAATTTTACTCAGTTGAATTTCAATTTACTCAATTGAAACATTTATTATAAAAGCTCACATAAAGTTTTTCCAAGTAGTATCTGTACCTGTCTTATTCTCCTCTGCTTCCTACCCCTACCTGCACTGCTGAATGTGAGGTTTAGAAGGTTTTAAGGGAAAAAGCAGTATTTCTGTTCTATATCCCAGGGCAGTTGGTAAGACCACAATGAAAATGTTTCCTTAAAGTCCTAAGTGTATCCCACTTAGGACATTCTGAGAGGAGGTATGTTGGTCTCTAATGGAGATTTGGAAACTCTGGGACACTCAAGATTTATGAAAGAGCTTGGACATCTCTGGGGACTCAAAGACTCAGAATTAGGACTTCTGAGCTCAAGAAGAGAAAAGAAAGGGGAGTAGGGAAAATTTTGTTCTAAAAAATAGCATCAGGAACAGAAGAGAAGCAATATATAGTAATATCTCTTAGCTGTCAGAGAATTGGAAGCTATTTTTGTGTTCACACAGAAAGTATAGTTCAGAAAATCTCTATAGGCAGAGGTCACACGAGCAGAATGATGTGGGATTTAAGTGCCTATCTAGAGGACAATTTTGACCTGAAACCAAAGACTTGCTCTGGGCCACCCTAGGAAAAGGACTTTGTTCTCTAAGGCTGCAAGACAGAATGGTTCTGAGAATGATCAGTGATCCCAGGTTTGGGGACTGCTGACTCAAGGACCGTGGACTCAGGAGAGCCTACAAGAGAGGTGTGGGCTTTAAACTTGTGCAAGCTTATAAAGTAACCCGAGACTGTACCTCTAATTTACCGAAGCTGTATATAGTCTGTACCCTGCCATACCATCATGTTGATAAACAACTTTTTGCACTTTGAAGAAGTGGGATGTAAGTTTCCTTTGAATACTGTATTACAATAGTGGACTGCCTATGCGTTGTTACTGATTGAGTTGCTATTTGAAATTGGAACATTAATGTTTTGATTAAAAATGTAAGGATGTAACAATATACACCTTCCAAGGATGTTGTGAGGTTTTATGTAATTTTGTCTATGGGGTAATGTTACTTTGGGGCAGGGGTTGCAAATTTCCTCTTGTATGTACTGTGTCTGGATTTAAAGACATGAAAAATAGTCCAAGCCCATACTAGAACCTTAATAGTCATTCCTTTACAAATGGAGGCAACTGATCTCTTACACAGTTTCCTTCGTGTTGTTTTAATGCTTAAGGCTAGAGAATCTGTTGCACCTTGGAACCAATGTGAGTTAACCACACGCTACAGACACTTCATAGTGTTGCACCCAGGGAAGCAAAATAGCTTTGCGTTCTCACTGTCTATCAGCCCTCAACTATTAGTTCCCCAAGAACTTGAGTGTCCTCAAATAGTTCTCACTGTTCGTCTCTCCACTGACCCCCACTCCAGAAAGCCTGGAGAGCCGTCCTGCGATGCTACCCACCTTCCCCACACCCTTGCCACACATCCGTGTGGCCTATTTCATATTCTGAATGTAAGTGCAGCTTTGCTTCTTCCTCTCCTGAAAAGACTAAAAACACCACACATTTGAACACGTTAAGAAAATGGGGCAGCCTTAAAAATGACTGATCCCATCGCCAGTGACTCATTCATATAAGGACTTTTCCAGGCTAGCAGACAAGGCTCTTTTTGGTGGGCCTGCTTCTGTGGGT